CCCCAAAACCCCAAAACCCCAAAACCCCAAAACCCCAGGGAGTAAGAATCGAATTGAAGCTCAATTTAAATTTTGTAAAATAGCTTTCTTCAGAATCAATGTTTGTCATCAGAGAGGAATAATTGAGTCAAGCATTCAGGATGGAGCAAGTGATTACAGGAAGTCTTTATGTATGCATCCGGGAATTGACTAAGCGCTTTGCATAATTCATGGTTCTTTTTAGTAATTTTTGTATAGAATAGTGAAGGTTCAACCAAGCTATTCAGTCAATAATCTCAGATCGGAATCAGTCGTGCATTTAGTGTATCAATTTCAAATTTTGGATAAAGCTTATGAACATATCCTTTGAAATTTTGCAAATTTTCTCCAAAATATGGGCTTCAAAAATAAAATTGATGGGCAAAGAACACAAGAATCATCGAGACATGAATTGCAAACAATAGTAAAATAAATCATCCTTGGCTATGAACATCTCCAGAATAAATCTCTGTGAAATAAAAGTAATTTATTCCGAAAGTGATATCTAAGCTAAAGATCAGGGAGAAAATAATATCGTAACATGCATTCGGTATACTTATTGCACTCATAAATTTTTCCCCACTAAAAATACTGTAAATTATGAGGAAAACCCAGAAAGAGTTTTGCAACATGACAATCTGGATATCTGAAGATAAAAATACAATCGTCTCTTGGAAATAAAAACTTGCCCGAACTCAACATATTTCCAATAGAATAAACAGAAGAAATCCAAGTGTTTTTGATATCCGCCACTTCTGTCTTAGTATGTGATAGCTATACACTGTAATAAATATCTGTTTAAATTACAAAATTATTTTCTGTTTTCACTATGAACGATATTTAGCTAATGGCAATCCAAATAGCATAAAACTAGCATTCTGACATTAAATCTATGATTAAAAAGACACTAAAAAGGCGAGGAATGGAAAGCAGATAGAAATCTTAGTTGAATTCATCTAAAAATGAGGGTAAACTTTATATCGATTTTAAATTCTTTAGTTTGTAAACTTACCAATCTCTCTGAAGAAAACTTACAAAGGCCGTACACTGCATAATGACCATAAAATACCTCCTCACAAAAACCAGCCCCCACACAACCACATCAACTCTATAATCAAAGGCGTATTTCCTAAACCTAGTCACCATCAAACCTAGGTCCCTGTGCGAAGCCAAGAACATTATCAACAGTACTAATAATAAGTCTGCTTTCCATTACTCCATCCTGAGTGATACTTGAGTTGTAAATCTTCGTGAGTTGAAATCCCGATTATAAGAGCACTAGTAATTATATATCCAACTTCAAGCCCTTTCTGTTTCCAAAATCCATCTTGTATCTCAATTACATTTCAAATTTTTAATTCCTCCCAAAAACCTTGGTTAGGACAGAAGGCGTTGTTATTATCGTGATCTGAAGATGTCCAGACTCCGTAGACTTCAATAACTGGAGATATTAAGCATATGGAAATCATTACTCAATCCATGACCTTCATAGCCCCGCTCAGCACTCTCTCAAGACCCCATCCATTACACATATTTATTATTACAACTATATCTCCTCCTTCCGGGGTTTTGGGGTTTTGGGGTTTTGGGGTTTTGGGG